CCCCGCCGCCCGCCGGCCGCTCCCGGCCTCGCCCGGCACCCGCTCCCCTCAGTGGCAGACGCAACAGGTAAGCGACACCTTGGGGTCCCGAGCTGACTGACACCTAACTCTGCGTTCTAAGCAGGGAGGGCGCCTGCGTCTACCCCTGGCCCCCGAGCCGCGTCGCGGGGCCCACACAGGGCGCCCACAGGAGCAGGAGTGGGTGTGGGGGATGGAAAAGGAGAAGACGCTCTCCTGGAGACTTGGAACTGTGACTGCGTGTGGATGGAGCAAGGTGTGGAGCGAGTGGCAGAAATAAGGGGCCACGTGTGAAGGCTTCGAAGCCCTGCGAGGGAGTTATCCTCGGGTAGGTGAGGACGGTCGATGGGGTTTCCATGCAACAGAAACAGGTTTATGCGTTAGCCTGTGACTGTGTGACGGGAATCCTAGCGGTTGACTCGGCAGGGTCAGTAAAGTAAGAAGGGTAAAAGCGCAGACCCTGACATCTTTGCAGAACATACAGAAGATTAAATTCAGACCCCCTCACTCCCGTCTCGCCATTCAACTGTAACCGTTGTTTCTCTTGTGCTGCATTTTTTTTATAGTGGACATTAGTTTGTTTCACAAAACTGGCATCATTACTATATGTAAAACGTGTGGTTTTTGTTTTTTTAATTAATTGATTTTATATTATTATTTATTTTTGGCTGCGTTGGGTCTTCGTTGCTGCACGAGGGCTTTCTCTAGTTGCAGAGAGTGATTGCTACTCTTCGTTGCGGTGCGCGGGCTTCTCATTGCTGTGGCTTGCCTTTGTTGCAGAGCATAGGCTCTAGGCGTGTGGGCTTCAGTAGTTGTGGCATGTGGGCTCAGTAGTTGCGGCTCACCGGCTCTAGAGCACAGGCTCAATAGTTGTGGCACACAGGCTTAGTTGCTCCGCGGCATGTGGGATCTTCCCGGAGCAGGGCTCGAACCCATGTCCCCTGCATTGGCAGGCGGATTCTTAACCACTGAGCCACCAGGGAAGACCCAAACGTGTGGTTTTTGTTGATTTTGTTTTTCTCTTAATGTATTATGAATATTTCCTTATTATTCTTGTGCGCCATTATATTTGTTAGAACCCACTTAAATTGAGTAATGCAAAAAGGTAATACACTGTCTTGTGTAACTGAAAAGCCCAAGGACTTTAAAGTAATGGGTTTAATTGTTCAAATAATAGCTGTAGGGCTCTCATTCTCCATCTCTTGGCTCTGCTTTTTCTGAGTGTTGGCCTTGTTTTTTTTCAATGGTAAATAGACTCTCTGTAGTGCTGCGAAGGAGTTTCATGCTTTTATTGCCCCAGCCTAGGAACCCCAGGAGCAGTAGCACCTCTTTTCTGTCTTTCTAATTGCTGCAGCAAAAATCCCCATAATGGACCTCACTGACCTTATTGAGTCATGTGTCCACCCCTGAACCAGTCGATTTGAAGGCAAGGGTTTGTGTGGTGTTGGAATGCCCAGATTAGCTGCCCCTGGCCGAGAGCAGGATGCGGGCTGGGGTCAGCTCCACCTCTAGTGGGCCCTGTGGTGTGCCACCCAACTTCCCATTTATGACCAAGGCATTCATTGCCCCACCTGCCGGGAGTAGCAGCAGCTGATGCCTCTCAGCTGAGTCCTTCTGGAAACTGCCCTTAGCCCGAGAGCCACCCCTCCCAGGGTCATCTCTCATCCAATGACGGATGTCTGGGATGCATAAGGTCTGCACCCCAACCCCCTTGCCTCAAGCTGGCACAACTGTGAAGGATGATGGCAGATCAGAGCTCCCCCTGGGGTCATCTGAGGCCTTTATGGCAGCTGCCTCACAGTTCAGTGCCTCCCTCTGCCTAATCCCCAATTCCTGGACTGCCCTACAGGTGTTGATCTTGACACTCCACAACAGACTTTCTGCATGAAAATCTCCATCTCAGAGTCTGTTTCTCTGGGGAACCCAAACTAAGACACCCACCCAAACCATATGGACTGAAAGGGGAAGATCAGTTCCCTAAAGGAAAACCAGGATGCTGATACTAGAAGGGGGCCATGGGGAGTCAAAGAAAAGATCTGCTCTTCAGCTATTATTTTTAATGACTGTGTGATATTCCATTGTACAACTGGGTCATAATTTATTTACCTATTGCCCTATTATTTAACACTGTGGTGGCCACCTTAAACATACAGCTTTGTGTATGTTTTTTATTTCCTTATGACGCATTCCTAAAATGGAATTGGTGGATCAAAGAATATAAAAGTTTTTAAAACTTTTCCCTTCTTTATCCTCCAGAAGGTGGTAGCAATTGCTATTCCCACCAGAAGGCTGCCTGTTTCTCTGCACCCTCACAGTTCTGTATGGTGGTTCTCTATCTCTAAAAACCTAATAGATGAAAAATGGTGTCTTAAGTCTTTTAGATGTCTTAACTGTTGAGGCTGCACATTTCTTATATTCCTTTGGTGAGCTATGTGTTCAATCTTTGAGGTGTTAAAGAGTTTTTCTTATGACAAGAGCAAATTAGCAAATTTTAAAGCCCTCTCCCGTGGGCTCCCTCACCACAAAGAACGTATATTCTTGTCAAAACATGAAAGTACACGTTAGAAACGTGACTAAATTGGTGACAGAATAGAAAAGTTGTGTGTCAGAAAGATGAGGCAAAGAACTCAGAGCAAAGATACAGACTGGAAGGATCAGGAAAAGCTCATCTTAGATGGTGAGACCTAGACCTTGGAAACATGTGTCCTGCAGATGGCAGAAAGGAAGGGGGAAAGCAGGGAGAACAGGAGGCCATGCACACGTGGAATGAATTAGTTAATGAATAAAAGAAGGCTCTAGTGAGTAACAGAAAAGTCACAGAAAACCTCATAAGAAACAGGAGTTTGCGGCAAACAGCGGGGTAGCCACGTGGTAAGACATTTTAGGAAATTAATCTGGGATGAGGATAGAAAATGAACTGAAGCTGGGGAGACAAGATGACTTCAATAGTAGTTTTGTCTTTTTGGTGGAGTGGCTGGGTCAAGGCCCTAGAGAGGACTGTGCAGGTGGGATGGAGAACAAATTCAAGAGACTAAGTCAGTAGGACTTCATTGTAGTTATGAAATGCAAAGGAAAGTGGGCAGAGGCTTCTGAAGCAGAGAATAGGTGAGATCTGATGCCTGTAACAGAAATTAGGAAACAGGACTAGGTTTGAAGGTAGGAGCGAAGAATAAGGATGAGTTTGGCTTAGGAGAAAGTAAGTCTTCAACTGTACTGCTTTGTGCCTCTAAGCTGCTGAAAATGTTTAGTGGCAGATGTTGATGTGGGAGACATCTGCACAACCTAATGGTAGCTGAAGAAACGAAATGATCTCTAGTTAGAAAAGGGGGCTTTGGGGTTGCCCACGGTGAGGAAACACCCAAGGTGATACTTGTGTGTCAGCCATGAGGTAGCTGAAAAGGTCTAGGAGTGTGCCCCATCTCCCTCCTTCATGCCCGATCACACCCACCACCCTGCTTGCTGCTGTATGATTGATTGTGCTTTTCTTGGAGAGAAGTGGTCTGGCTTTGAAAGAAACAGCCAGGTTTTAGCATCCAGCCTCCTGCAGTGATCCATGGACAGGCAGGCTAGGTGCCACTTGTTAACGGAGGGCTGAACATCTGTGCTTTGCTTTATACGTCACCAAAATGTCTTCCCATCCATTATTTTTGCATCGTGGAACTTCAGAGAGGAAAGAGACCTTCAGATAAGGTAGTCCATTCCCAATTTTAGAGACGAGGAAACTAAGGCCCACTAAGAAAAGTGACTTGCCTAGTATCACACAAAGTGGGAGGAAAAGAACTTCCATTTTAGCTTTCAAGAGAAGTCACTGCTCACCTGGAGGACTAGAGTCGTCCCCACAGATGCAGTTATTTCCAGAGCTCTGAAAGGTGAGCCATGGGGACAGTATCCTTTCCTCCTCACCCCAGCTAAAATGCACAGATCACCAGTATATTATTTTAGAGAATTTGTTACCCATTTATTTCTTGGTTAAGTTAAAAACTTATAAATTTCTAAGAGTCTCAGTACTTTTGAGGAATGTCAGTGTCCTTGTAAAGACAAACATTTCATTTGTTTCCCTGTTGTGATCTATAACTCACTCCTGACATGTATTTTGTCACCCTTTTACTAACAGTAGGTTATTTTTCCAGAAAAGCAGCTTTAAATCACTCTTCTCCATAAAAATAATGTTAAAATGGGAAGGTGTTTCTGCTACCTTCAGTTTTCTAAAAAAGAAACAGGGAAACATATTAACAACTATATTTAATGTGACCCAGTATAATGTACCAAAAACAAATCATTTCACTTCCTTCTACCCATTGCATTATTTTTAGAACTTAATGACTCAGGAGTGAAAGATTCACCAACAGGTGTGTGGATTCAGCTTCTCTGGAGAGATTTTTACAGGCTGCTTGAGACTTTGAGAGGCAGTGTGACTACTTGATGTTCTTCTGAGCAGCCATTCCAGGCATGCCTCTGTATCTCACTGGAAGTGTCCCTTCTGTAAATGTAGGCCTTGAACTACTGAGTAGCAGATTATTCTATTTGCTCTGAAAGTTCTTTCTTTCCTGAGTTGTCGTCGCAGCTGCTTCACCTTGTACCCCAGGGTACAACAAGGGGCAGGCGGCTGCTTTTAAGACACAGTTCCAATCCTAAGGAGCATCACTTTTTCACTCTAGCACAGTACTCTGCACAAAGTAAGGGGTTCAAATACCTATTTAAGTAATAAAGAAACAACGGGGTTGTAATCATCACTAAACACATGGATTTTAACATCACTAAACACATGGATTTTAACAAACGAGACTCTTTCCTATTCCCTCTGAAGCATTAATATGTGCCAGCCTTTTACCCCAGCTTATTTAATTCTCATGATAATCCTGTGAAGTAGTTAGTATCCCTACTATTAGAGATGAGAAATGGGGTTCAGAGGTTAA